CCTAAACCCTAAATCCTAAACCCCGAAAGCCCTAAACCCCGAAGCCCTAAACGTTAAAACCCCGAAGCCCTAAACCCTAAACCCCCTAAATCCTAAACCCTAAACCCTAAACACCCTAAACCCCGAAGCCCTAAACCCCTAAACCCCAAACCCTAAACCCTAAACCCTAAACCCTAAACCCCGAAAGCCCTAAAATGGAGCTCTGCAGGATGATGGATCCAGGCACCGGACCATTTGCCCTGCCTTACCCAAAGGCTCCATGTACCCATAATCTATATATATATATATATGTGGATTTAGGGTTTAGGGTCTAGGGTTTAGGGTTTAGGGTTTAGGGTTTAGGGTCTAGGGTTTAGGGTCTAGGGTTTAGGGTCTAGGGTTTAGGGTCTAGGAGTTTAGGGTTTAGGGTTTAGGGTGTAATGTATATGAAATATGCTGAAGCCTTAAGAGGGGTTCCTATATAGGTACTTTAGGGCCAACCAACGTATATACTCGACAGGTACATGGAGCCTTTGGGTTAGTTCGTTCTCTGCTTCGGAGACGCATAAGCTACTCCCGAAATCTGAGGGTTTAGGGTTTAGGGCGCCGGGTTTAGGTTGCAGGGTTTGGGGTACATGAACATGACATGTTAGGGCTAAAAGACAGCACCCCAGAATACGTATCCAAGTCTTATGCATGACACGTCTACTTCACTGATGGGACCTGTACAAAACGAAGTGCCTGCCCAGCAGGTTCTTGATACATCCAGTGCCACATAAACAGTCACGTAGACAATGCGGATAATATAGGGGCCTTAATAAATACCTACACTATTTTGGGGTTCCTTATTATAACTATAGTATAATAGACCCCAAAACTCTATTCTAATTGTTAAGGCCCTACATTGCCTGACATGCAGGCGTGGCTCTCGTCGAGAATATTGGAAAGCCGGAACCTGGGTTGCACAACGATGTGTTGTGGCAGCCATGTATCGGAATTCTGCTTCCCTACACGAGGCGGACGCTTCAGACCATTTCTTACCCTCAGGATTCATCTGGTTAGTACACACTATAGTGTGCCGTTAAGTTTGACTTTTAGCATAAAGGCACCTTCGGGTAAGGAAGCGCAATTCCGAGCTTTGTGTCTCGCTGCGGATTCCAAAGCCCAGGACAGCTTCGACCATCTCGACTGTGGGAAGCCATTGGAGGCAGGCATCAACATAGAGCTTCGAACAATTAGCGATGCGGCCCCTTATCGCTACCCATAGGCCCCATAGTAGTTCCTTCTTGGGATTACCTAATAGGATCCTAAATATAAGCCCCAAAAAGGAACTACTATGGGCCTATGGGTAGATAGATAGACAGATCAGATAGATAGATTCTTAGATGTTCAGCTATGCTGGTATACTATACCTACATCGCAAAAAAGCCTGGAACCCTGATCCAAAGATTCAATCCCCTTCTCGACGGTGCTCGAATTCCAATCCTGGAGCTACGGTTGGTAGGATTTCGGTTTTTTGGGGCGCAGACGTAAACCCTAAACCCTGAGTTTTTACCCTAAACCCTCAACCCTCAACCGTAAACCCAAAGCGGCTCAGAAGAGCTAAGGCTTAGGGTTCATTTCGGTGCATTTCGGCAGGGCTTCCGTTCAAATAGGGTTTGGGGTTTAGGGTTTGGGGTTGTGGGGTGTTGGGTTTGGGGTTTTGGGTGTAGGGTTTGGGGTTTGGGGTTTGGGGTTTTGGGGGTAGGGTTTGGGGTTTAGGGTTTGGGGTTTTGGGGTTTTGGGTTTGGGGTTTGGGAGTTTAGGGTTTCTGGGGCCCAGGGTACCAAAAGGTTCACGCGCTACTACCCTGAAAGTTCAGAAAAAAACACTTAATCGCGGCTGTCTCTTCGGAACGTGTACAAGGGATCTCTTTTCGGCAGTGCGCTTATGCCTTATTTTGTTTCTGGGACGTCCTTATCTATCGATACTGAATAGCAAGTATAAGAGAAAGGTCACCCCCAAGGCCCTGTATCAATCACATAAGGCCCATGTTAAATGCTAGCCCGGAACCACAGACCCCTGACGCCTGGGCCTAAACCCTGATCCTTTATAGATCCCGTAACGGAAGCCTTACATGATCCCTGACAGCCCTTGACAGGACCAAACCCTAAACCTAAACACTTAATCCCAAAGCGCTTGAAAGGAACACCTAAAAGACACCCCCAATGATCCATTCAGGAACCCTTGAAGAGCACTATATGGTTCTTCAACATAGTGCCCCTTTAGTCTTGTCGGGTCCCCTCCTGAACCCTAAACCCTTAATCTTACAACCGAAACCCTGAATCCCTTAACCCTATGGTGAACGCCTAAAAGTTGGAAGCTTGGAAATGGAACGGTTGGTCCGGAACGGGCTCTTCCAACTTTCCGCTTTTGTCGCAGAAGGGTCCCCCGCACTCCCGGC